ATCTTGTCCTGGGCTACATGGGCTTCCTGGCTGCCATCTCCTTTGTGGTGGCTTTCCTGGCCAGGAACTTGCCTGGGGCCTTCAATGAAGCCAAGCTGATCACCTTCAGCATGCTGGTGTTCTGCAGCGTCTGGTTGTCCTTTGTGCCCACCTACCTGAGTACCAAAGGGAAGTACATGGTGGCTGTGCAGGTCTTCTCCATCTTGGCCTCCAGTACTGGACTGTTGGGATGTATCTTCATCCCCAAGTGCTACATTATTATTCTGAGGCCAGATCTGAATACAAAGGAGCATCTAACAGCAAACAGTAAAGATGGCTTGAAAGTGAATGCAAAATAGCATGACAATTGTCACAACCTTCTCAAAATTGTTTGAGAAGAAAACAAGTTGGTTCCCTTGGCATATTCCAGAGAAGTTAGCTTTGTTAATTTTGTTGGTAGCATTCTATGCTTCCACCACTGGGGGAAGTGCATATGATCAAATGTCTCTAGAAGTCTGTAAGGGCAGGTTTGCCTGATTTTGCCCTCTTTTTGGGAAGATGGACAGTGACCAGACCTTTATTTTCACACCCTCCACCCAACAACTGATCTAATGGTGCACTACGAAGGCAACATTAAAATGTTAAAATACTTTTCAAACATTAAAATAAATACTTAATGTTTGAAAAACATTAAAACTTAGTTCATCTGAAAGCATTGTTAAATATTGATTAGATTCTATATGTTGATATAGTTCTGGGAGAAAATCGAGTATGTAAAAGTGATGTTGAATATGGAAGGTGCCATCTTATGAAGGTCTTGTGACTCAGCCAGGAAAATTATTTCATATAGATGGAAACACGAAACAAATATTTCTCTGCTTCTAAGAATTGGAACCAAAATACAGTATGTTGTGATCAATTTTTTAAATGTCTTCCTATTCCAAAAGTGAAATGATGGAAGAATATGTTTCTGTATGGTCTGGATGTAATAAATTGAATTAATGTTATACTAAAAATATATGAATCTTATTTTTCTCTTTTTCCAAGTTATTTCCCCTGCCCATTTATTCTGTTTCTTTTAGTTACTATAACATACATGTACTTGCTTTGTACAATATGTTTTATTGTAGAAGGTCTGACGTATTATATTTTTCTTTCTAGTGTTCATTATATCACGGTGCTTGTGTTGTGTGTGTGTGTCAGAGGTGGTATTCAGCAGGTTCTGACCAGTTATGGAGAACTAGTAGTGGAAATTTTGAGTGGTTTGGAGAACCAGCAAATACCACCTCTGACTGGAGATTTCACAGTATCCTTCCCCTGCCATGCCTACCAAGCCATGCCCAAAGAACCGCTAGTAAAAATTTGAATCCCACCGCTAGTGTATGTGTGTTTGCACACACATGCACTTTAAAGTACACGTATAGATTGGGAGAAACTAGGCTTAGTAGCATTAACTGTGAGAGGGTGTCAGGGTTCTGATGGAAGCCCTATTCATGAGCCTCAAGCCAAGTTTCGACAAAAACCCAATTATTTATTAGGAGCAACATGTTGGCACTTTTCCCAAGTCTAGTCAGCTCTGCCCTACGTAATTTACTGCCCACCTATGACCCTGTTTCCCCCCTCCTCCCAGGGTGTGTCATAAATCACTCTCTCCAACGGAGCACTTCTCAGCCAGTCTTTGAAAACCGGGTTGCTTAGATTGGCTTTCAGAACTAAGAATATTTGCTGGTTTAATGAGGCTAATATGAAAAATTGGATGCATCTTTCTAAATCTTGAGGGTAATTTTAATTGTATTGCGATAGGGTTGATTATTTTAGTCACTGGAAATGGACCAATATATTTGGGACCCAGTTTCTTGGATAGCAACTCCAAATTTAGGTATTTTGTGGAGAGGTACACAAAGTCTCCAATTCTGAACAGTTTATTTCTTCTCTCATTTTAACCTTCTCTCAGCCAGTCTTTGAAAACTTGCAGATTGGCACACAAACCACAAACCATCATGCAGAGAAGGAAGCAGGTTTCAAGGGGTTTTAATGTCAACCAACAAATTTTCCATCCTACAAGAACGGTATTCCAACCGGTCTAGGTTAGCACTGGAAGCCTTTGCCTTACAGTGTTATTTAAAGGTATAAACACCCCCCCTAAACGCTTCTATCTCCTATCCACGCCCTTAATTATTCCCTGAATCACCTCTTATTCCCATCATCTGGTTTACTTAATAAGTCTACTATTTCCTTCCCTATCACCTATCCATCGCTCATGATTTCTATCTCCTCGCAAGTATAAACTAAATAGTTAAACTTCACACCCCCATCGCCTGTTCCTTCATCACAGTTGCTTGTTCAATTCAGCTTTGCCAGAATCATTAAATTAAGTCCAACAATCCATCAAACACAGACAGGAGTTTCCTTTCAAGTTACAGATGACTGAGGAGCTCCTCGCAGGTCATGATTCTCCCACACTAGAGATGTTGCAATTACCTGGGAGTACCTATCATCATCATCAGTGTTCTGATGATATGGCTCCTGCAAAGGTGCTGACGGGCTCAGACCATCTATCATCCCTAATGGAGCCTGACAGCACTTTTGTGGGCTGTAGAAAACATGCCTCCCCAGCTGGCTCTGGTAACCTGAGACACAATCTGGCAAAAGGCATGTGTGGAATGCGCTTCTGGTCAGAGCAACTGAACTGCTCCCATCAGATCTCTTCCCCACCTCCTTCTTAGGGCAATTCACGAGCAAGCCAGGAAAGCTTTACGAGTTGACAGAGGATCTTGGAGTCTTAGTGGACAACCAGTTAAATATGAGCCAGCAATGTGCAGCAGCCAAAATAGCCAATGCAATCCTAAGTTGCATTAACAGAGGATTTCAATCAAGATCATGTGAGATATAGGTACCAGTATATAAAGCCAATATATTAAGACCACTTCTTGAATACTGCACCCAGTTTTGGTCACTACACTATAAAAAAAATGTTAAGACCCTACCATTTCCGACAGGTGGAAGTTCAGTCTTTTCTTGAAAGTTTCCAGTGATGAAGCTCCCACAACTTGTGAAGGCAAGCTGTTCATTGGTTGATTCCTCTCACTTCTGACAGTTTTTCAGTTACAACCATTCCAGCAACCCCATGGTCAGGTTTTCCTTTCAGCAATGGGATCTCCACACAGAAATCTTTGCAAGCTCACCTTCTGGCCAAACTAAGGGAAAATGGATTTATGTGAAGGTTGAAAAGATAAAGATTATATTTTTCTCCACTCTCCCAGCTATTTCTAAAAAGAGAGAGAGAGGAGGAGCTTAGGAGATAAAAATGGCTTCCATAACGAACGATGTGAGAAATGATGGGGAAACGCATGGTTTAAATAGGCCTACATTTTGGGGCAGGGCTTAATTTCACCTCATGCCTAGAAATCATGCTGGGCCTTCCTATTGGTGGAAGCCGTATTGTTGGAGAAACACGGTAGATAGACTAGATTAGCCATTTCTATAACAATTCTTTTTAATGAGCAAAACCTAAATTCAAAGTTTCATTTTTTTTTCTCCCTCAAGAACAAAGTCCAAAAGCAGTTTCCAAGTTGAAACAAAGTGAATTGTGTTATTTTCTTTAATCAAAGCAAGTGAATTAAGCCACCTCTGTTAACTCCATCAACTTTTGCAGCCGTTTGTCCATTGTGAGGGCTTATCCTTTTCTTGATCAGCTCCCTTAGAATGAAAAGATAGAGCTGGAGCAGCTCTGAGGGATAGAAGGCAAAGCTAGAACTGACGCAACCAGAACAAATCTGTGGTCTGGGCCTCCACGGGCACTGAATCCTGGGACATGCAATAAAGTTAATCAGCCTTTCGGACCCTGATGGTGTCAAGAGAGGATGGACAAGGAAACCTTTCCTTTTACTCTGTTTCCTTCTGTTGGAAAGTATTGCTGTTGCTCCATTTCTTCTAACTGACTGATATTACTGGATTTAATGTAAGTCTGATACTGAACTGTTTTTGACACTGGAATTTGATATTTGGATTATCCCTGGATGAAAACTGACTGATTTTACCTGTGAATGACTTTGGACTGCCTATTTTGGACTTTGCTTAACATTTCTGGAAGTAAAAATCTACATTTACTGTACAGTGTATCTGTGTGCTGTATGTGTATTATTCAAACACTCCTCTCAAATACGTCTCCCTGTATGCGCTCATTCTCCTAACGGGGAATTACCTCAACAGAGAGTGATATTGAATAACACACGACCAGCATACAGATACACTGAATAGTAAAATGTAGGTTTTACTTTCAGTAAATGGGTAAACAAAGTTCAACAAACAGTCCAAATCATACATGGTTAAAGCAGTTAGTATCAGTCCAGGGATAATCCAAAAATGAAGCCAAGTATCATAAACAGAGTTCAGTAAACGGAGTTTGCTAACAGTTGCAAAAACTCACTGCAATCTAAGTAAAAGGACGATCAGGCAATAGGGCAAAACAGGAAATGCAAGGAGAAAGAAACCAGGTTTTTGGCTCCATCTTATGGCCGTTGGAGGAACCTCAGCCAATCACAATTGCAGCATTCTCTTAAAAGATACAGTATTAAATTACTATCATGGTTTATATATTTCCAACCCAATTGTTAGGTGACTATCATTCCTAACAGATGGCTTAACTGTATTTTCCCCCCCCTGTTTCTTTCTCTCTCAAGCTGGCAATGAACGGAAGAATGAGTTTTATCAGTAATCAGAAGAGATACCAATACAGATTCTAAAAGTTGAAGTGGGAGAAAAGAATCAATGGCAAACAAAAAGTGAAGACAGAATCCAGCTAAATGATCCACGGGGGAAAAATCCTCCTTTTTCTCTGGAAATCTATGATTTGCTGGCCCAAGAAGATCTTAATGGAGAGGGGATGGGAAGGTATTTAGGCTGTGATGAAATATTTGAAGAACAATCAAACTTCAGTAACCCATGTGAATGGAGACAGGAAGGGAACAGGTATAATCAGAGCTGCCCTCCTCATTGGAGAGATGAGATGGGGGGAAAAGCATTTGAATGTAAGGACTATGAAAACAACTTCAACTACTCCGGTAACCTTGTTTCCCATCCAAAGAAACCCACTGGTGAGAATCCGTACAAATGTATAGAGTGTGGAAAGAGCTTCACAAGGAACGATAAACTTACTGCCCATGTAAGAATTCATACAGGGGAAAAACCATATAAATGCATGGAGTGTGGAAAGAGCTTTATGAGTAACAACATACTTATTTCCCATAAAAGGATCCACACAAGAGAGAAACCATACAAATGCATGGAATGTGGAAAGAGCTACAGTCACTCCAAAAGCTTTATATCTCATGAAATTATCCCCAAAGGGGAGAAACCATATAAATGCATGATATGTGGAAAGAGTTTTAACAGGTGCAGTAGCTTTGACTATCATAAAAAAATCCACACTGGGGAGAAGCCGTATCAGTGTATGGAGTGTAGAAAAAGTTTCATAAGGAATGACACACTGATTTCCCATAAAAGAATTCACACAGGGGAGAAGCCGTTTAAATGCTTAGAATGCGGAAAGAGCTACAGTCACTCCAGTAGCCTTATTTCTCACAAAATGATCCACAAAAGGGAGAAGAAGTGGAAAGAGCTTCAGCCGATGCAATAGCCTTACTTCTCACAAAAGGATCTGTTAGGAATAACATAGGTTACCTAACGTAGTTTGGGTAAAATAATATATATAAACTATGATTGTAAGTTTAAGTGTGTGTCACTTTAAACTGCAAAGCATGTAATTTTGGGTGCGGTTGTGAACCGCCATAAGAGGGAGCAAGAGAACCTGACGATTCCTGACGATTGACTGGTTTGAAGAATTGATGGTTTGTTAACTGTGTGTTTTCCCTACTGCTGAGTTGCTGAAGGAAGAAAGGAGTTTTGACTTCTTCATATCTCTACTGCGAGGAGATATATTACTGGACTGATATTTGTAAGTTTACTGACCTCTCTTTTTCGACACTGGAATTTGCAACTGAATAATCCCTGGACGGACTGAACTAGTGAATGATATATGGACAGTATGACTATGCTATAACTCTTACTGGAATAAACTATTTAACTAGCTCTGTGTATCTGTTTTACTGAGTGTAAGCTACAAAAACGTTTATCTCACATATTTTGCCTGCCTGCCTGCCTGCCGTGCAGATTCTGCTAGGGTGTATCCCTAACAGGACCCACACAGGAGAGAAACCATATAAATGCCTGGAGTGTGGAAAAAGCTTCAATCACTCCAGTAACCTTAGAACCCATAAAACGATTCACAGAGGAGAAAAATCACATAAATGCCTGGAGTGTGGAAAGAGCTTCATGAGAAGCGCAGATCTTGCTTCCCATAAAAGGATCCACACGGGAGAGAAACCCTATAAATGTATGGAATATGGAAAGAATTTCACTCATTCCAATATCCTTACTTCTCATAAAACCATCCACACAGGGGAGAAGTCATATAAATGCACCGAGTGTGGCAAGAGCTTCAGTACAAACAGTTCTTTTACATCCCACAAAAGGATCCATACAGGAGGTCTTCCAGTGGCACTTCCATCGAAGATGGATCGGAGTCTGCGATTGTGCGCGGCCTCAATTCATGGTCTTCCTGTTGGAGGGTCCCAAACGGGGCCGGAGCCACCTTGTAGGGGTGGTGAAAAAGGGGAAGACCCCCTGCTGGGTCAAGGGGAGTCACAGCTCCCCTCCCTGGCTAGGATGCAATTTGATTGAATAGGGTCTCTAAATTGCTGTTGGCACTAAAGATGGTTGCTTGATTATTAAATTGATGTACCATCAAGTCAGTGTTGACTCTTTCTCCATGATGATCTGTCCCTAACTTGTTTTTTTAGATCTTCCCTGATTATTAAATGGGACCACCTAATATCAATCCAAAAACTACCAGATTTAATTGAGTTGAATTATCTAAATTGTAAAAAAAACTACCTGGTTTAGCAGTTATGGCCCAAAGAAAGGCAGTAAAAGAACAAGTCCCCCCAGGATTGGCCTCATTTTGCTTCTTCAGCAGGTCCCTAATTAAAGTTTATACTGATATTTTTTGATTATCAATAAATGAGTGACATTCTTGAAGCATTAGTTTCAAATTGATTTTGGTAAGATAAACACATAGGTTGAAAATAATAGAATGACTAGAAGGGGTCTGTGAATGGTCTTCATTTAAGAAGAAGGAACGGAATATAAAGATATAAAATTAGGTTATCTGGTTTAGTAATAATTTTGGGGTTTTCTTTATATGAAGTCTCAGCTCTCCAGACACAGGTTTGCAATTTTTTAAAAATAAACTTTATTGGTCTTTTGTATATTTTAAAAATAAAACAAAAAAATAAATATCATGACATTAACAGTTTTGTGACACCCATCTCATACATTACTATCTTTTGTGCACATTTACAAATATATACAATTTTGTGCAAATATATACATTTAATCTATAAACTGCTTATCTTTAATTCCTTCATTTTCTATCTGTCTTAATTCAATCCAATTATACCATTTCCCCCAAATTCTATAGTATTCAGACTCTTCTTTCTCTTGTATCATTAAAGTCTATTTATCCATTTCAGCACATGCCATTATTTTTTGAATAATCAGTTCATCTGATGATATACAGTTGTGCTTCCAGCATTGAGCATAAGCTATTCTAGCAGCCGTTAAGATGTGTAATACAATATATTTTATATTTTTTTCCACATTTCTTTTTGAATATCCCTAACAGAAATAGTTCTGGTTCCAATTCTACTTGTTCCTTAAGAATTTCTTGCATTGTTTAATTTAAGCCAATATTTCAACAGGACCACCACATGTGGTAGAAGGTACCCTCTTTCTTTCTACATTTCCAACATGCTGGATTCATGTTGGGATACATCTTCTCCAATCTGCGGGGGGTACAATCTGTAAAACATCTTATAAATATTCTCTTTGTATTGTGCCGGGTTTGCTTTGAGTTCATTATGTACTCTCTCTAAACAATTTGATCTTTTTATAATATCTGTAATTGCTGAATGTGTAACTTTTATAAAACATGTTTCATAGGTTTTTCCTGGAGGTCTGATTTCATTTTGTTCTACTCTTTTTATTTATTATTTGATTGATTTAGAGAGCCTCACTACTCCATGTATGTATGATTCAGGGTGGCATCTTGAGTGCTCTAATTGAAATGGTGGTGAAAAACACAACTTAATAGAAATGGTGGAAATCAAAACACTGAGAATCTCATTTTGATTCCTCTGCATTGATTCATTGTGTCCCATTCTCGTTTTCACATTACATTGCCTCTTCCTCTCCACTAGCATTTATGACAGGATGCTGGCAAAGCATAGAAGCTGAAGGTGGCAGATCTGACAGACAGAGGCAAAAGGAGTTATTACAGCTATCAGCCTGAGGTGGAATACTAGAGAAGAAAATCCACTATTGACAGTTGCTTTCTGTCCCCATTTTGCTCCCCTGGTGAGAAAACCAATCCAGGATTTGCATGCAGTGGAAGAGATGCAAATAATAAAATAGAACTGGAAGCAACCTTCTAGTCCAGCTTCCTGCTCAAGCAGAAGACTTTATTATACCATTTCAGGCAAGTGAACTGTCCAACCTCTTCTCGAGAGACTTAATTTTAATTAAATTTATTTGCCACCCATCTCTCCATGGGACTACTCTGCACAGCCTTTGCTTTTCATCAAGGCATAACCAGGCTAATCCTGGTTTTGCTCCTGAAAAAGGGGAGGAGGAGGAAGAGGAAAAATGAGTAATCTATTTTATTTTAATTTGGTTTGTCAATTGCTTACCAGATAACAGGCATAAGTAAAAACATAGTTATGAATACATGGATACATATAAGAAAAATAAAAGAAACAATAGGACAGGGACGGTAGGCATATTGGTGCACTTATGCACGCCCCTTACATACCTCTTAGGAAAAGGGATGAGGTCAATAGTAGACAGTCTAAGGTTAAAGTTTTTGGGGTTTGGGGAAGAAACCACAGAGTCAGGTAGAGTATTCCAGACATTGACCACCCTGTTGCTGAAATCATATTTCCTGTAATCAAGTTTGGTGTGATTAACCTTGAGTTTGTATCTCTTGTGTGCTTTTGTATTGTTATGGTTGAAGCTGAAGTATTCATTGACAGGTAGGACATTGCAATGTATGATTTTGTATGATTTTATGTTATGACTCCCCTTCGAATTTCAACAAACAAAACGGAAAGCAGTCGCTTCACAACTAAATCAAACGTGATAAAGTCTTAATAAATAACGGCTGACAGAAACCACAGCATAAGTCTTACTCTGTCCGGCAAACCAGTCCTGGCAATAAATTCTCAACCACAGAGCTCTTTGCTGTAACGTCCTCATTCAAATAGACATTTTGTTCCTGGCGAAAATGCACCAGCCCAGCTGTGTCCTTTTATACCTATTAAGGCAACGTGCTAATTTACTGACTTGCTCTTCTCATTTGCTTCAGCTGATTTTGCCTTTTCAACCGTCTTCTATTTTTTACATTTAACCACAAATTTTCCAAGTTCTCATCTCCACTAGAAGACTCTCTCAAAACTTCCCTGTCAGCCATTCCCGGCTGTTGATCAGATAAAGAACCAGAGGAGATCAAAGGTCCTGACAATTCTAATACATCAGGTCTGTCGTCCTTTGTCACGTCCACCTCCTCATCCTGGTTTTCAGTCCAATCAGAAAGCCAGGCTGGTTCAAATTGTTCTGACATAACCTCTTCACTTGAACTCATATCAATCACAGGAGCTGAATCCAAGCCCGGAGCCACAACAATTTTATATACTAAGAACGGACTGAAGGCAGCATAGTTCTAGGTTTTCTAGGTCTAGAATTTCGAGTCTGGTGGCATAGGTATTCTGCAACGAGTAGAGTGGAGAACTCTTCTTGTGAAATATTTCTGGACTTTCTCAACTGTGTTAATATCAGATACGTAATGTGAGCTCCAGACTGATGAGCTGTATTTGAGTATTGGTCTACCTTTCTGTTCCTCCTGGAATTTGGAAAAAAAGGAATCAACTTGAAGACGTGTTCTTTGCAGTTAATATATTGGGAAGAAGGATCAAGAATTAAGGGCTGTTATGCAAAGGTCCCTCTCAGCAACCCCTTTGCTTCCAGCAAGAGCGGGGAGCTCGTTTGCAAAGAGATGAGACCCCTCTTCTGCTAGCCCCTTAGAAAATGTGGTCTTTCATTGTGGCACACCTACACCCTTCCCCATGTCCAAGGAGGATTCTACTATTACAAGAATTTACTTGGTTTGATTTTGAGCTGGATAACGAACAAACATAATACCCAATAAACACAAATGGGCAGCTTCTAGAAGTAGAATTTATTCATTCAATCATATACAATAGTTGGAGGTAGTCTACATCATTAGAGGTCTGTGAGTAGAGATATATACAATAACGAGGAAACTTTGATGTTTAGATATGCAGATTGAGGTGCTCCTGCGTTGGGCATCGATCCTGAGGTGCTGCGGGCCTTGAGTTTGACACCCCTGACCTATATTAAAGGTAGTTCTCGCTTAACTGGTTCTTTCAACAATTGTTCAAAGTTATGACAGCCACAGAATGAGTTCCTTGCAGCCCATAAAGCACCCTCGGCCATTGTAAATGGTCAT